TGTCACAAGTTAATCTCGTTAATTTTTGAAAATTGAAAACGTTGAAAGTAATGCGAGAGATATGTACTGTTGGAGCACGACTGGTTTCGGTTTAAGGAACCCACGTTTTATGTGGAAATATCGCGTATTTTTCGCTGGTGCATTACACAAGTTTCTCTATATTGAATGCTTCTCTCATCCAGAACATTTCTTCGGCAGAAAATGTGCGACCTGAGAACACAAAATATCGATTATAAGAGCAAAGAACATCCAATTCTGAGTAGGAAACGATAACTGAAAAATTTCAACCAATCACGAGCGACCAAGTTTTGACACCTTGGAAACAACGGGCTCATTCGTTCCGGTGAAACCCCAGAGAGAGGTCGTGTTGTGTGCCGACCCGCGAACCGACAGAAGAGCGTACCAGCCGGGCGCATTCGCTACCATCCAGCATGCGTATGTGTGGGTACAGCTGGGCAAAAGATAAGGTAAATGTAATTCTGAGGTACATTCTGAGAATTATTGTAATGATAAGAGAATAAGCCAAACTTTGTAAAGATGAAAAGGTGGTGACGTTCTCGGGCGTATCTAATACCGATACATTTTTTTATTTTCAACATTTTTGTTTTTTGGATTTTGTAATTTTTAATATTTTTGCATTAAACTTTCGGCTTTACTTTATGACTGTAAACTACTAATTTTCGTGGACATTATTCGGAAAGTGAAAATACATCTGGAAAATGGGTGAACATGGTGCAAATAATAGACGTGCGCGGAAGGTTATCAAGGTGACTGGCAATGGAAGCGAAGAAATAGCTGAGAAGATCAATGTAGAATGGACAGCAAAAATACCATACCATTCAGGAAATTGTTCACTGCGTTTGGCTCCGGATAGTAGGAAACGCGTTCGTGCAGGCATCGCCATCTGGAACCCTAGTCAGGTGTTGAAGGAGGGCTGTCTGTGTGCGGACGCCGCAGGCGCTCGTTTGTGTGCGCTTCGGTAGCGACGGGTGATTGACCGGCGGGGTATCTAAAGCAAAGTATCGAATTGTCTTGCGGAAATACTATACCGTTGCGAGCGGACGAGGCAGATGGGAGAGTAGGTCCCGGAGCTCAGAGCGGAGGGGAACGCTCAAGGTCGTCCGCCAAGGTTTGAAAGAGCGACGAATGCACGTGAAGTTTAGAATTGGAAAGGAAGGAAATATTAAATAACGTTAGGTGAAGTGTTCTCGTAATTTAATATAGTCTAGAAAACGATATTTATATAATCTTTTGTTAATGGGGCCCGGCAGTAAGGGTTTTTCTACCGAATATTCGACGTTGTCCGGCGCATGTTTACAATACTATCCCTTCTTACGAATTAAGGGCGGGTAAATAAAAATTTATAAGAACAATGAAAAAAACTATGCCTGATAGCACAGGGTCGTCTCAAACGGCCGGTATTCAGTTCGCCAAAGAAGGATACGGGGAGGACGATGGTGAGTCCTACACATGACACATGCGTAGTCCACTGCGCAGTCTCCATTTGCGTAATACCAGGAATGACGTTGTAAATACTAGGATGGTATTGGGTTATCTCGGGGGAGAGATAGTCTACTAGATAATGGTAGCCTTTGTTTAGTAGTTTGAACAAACTGGCAGTAGTGTCATCAGTAGAGCTCGAAACTTTGGTAATATGCCACTTGATTATTGTTAGGATTTTATGACTTTTAAGAATAGTAATCACTTAATTGTACTTCTGAAGTTGTTTTTGTAGATTTTCGTTTTGTCGTTTGTTGCCTATTATTGCTTCTGATGCATGGTTTTGGCATTTTATTTTATTTCTGCCTTTTCCGTTATTTTCCTTTTTACCCTCCTGGGACCGATCTCTAAAAAGCTGGAAACACAAGCCTGGACAAATGAAGGCACAGTTGTGTATTCTTTTACTGTGGATACGGAGCTTCTGTTTTAGGTTATGTTAAAAATCTAAAAATGCTAGAAAGATGATTCTCGAAAAGATTTTTGATATTTTTCATTGATGTTTACAAACTTGTTTGTTGACGAGAAACCTCATTCCATGTTTCTGTATGTCCTTCGATCCCTTTTGAGGACAGAGCTGTCAGTTTATGGTATACCCTTCTCTTTTCCTTCTTCTCTGTTACCTTCTGGCGATTGCACGAGTGCGAAGAACGAAATCTACAAATCAGTTTTTATTGATACCATTTCAAGATTAAAAAAATCGCCATTTTCCGGCGCGCGATTTCGTAACTTATTATATACTTAAATATTATAATTTGCAAAGTTAATTGCTTGTCTGTTATTTTCGAAAATATTCTGAGATTGCCGAAAATGGAACTTGCGCTATTTTTTTTAGCATCATCTGTATCCGAGAAAAAAATTAAATAAAAAATTTGGATCCCACGTTGAGAATTTTTGAAATTAATTCCATTAGCTTCATGCAGAAATTATGGAAAACTACTAGTTAATAAAAATTACAATACCCTATTTAAAGGTCTAATGTTTTAGAACGGATTTCATTACCAAAAAATCGTAATTACGTATGAAGGTTAGAAGGTAAAAATGCACAAGCCCGTTCAGTATAACCGCAATCGCTCAATTGCTTTTGACAAGAGACGACAAAATTATCACCTACAGAAAATTTCTAGTCAGAGAAACAAAAACTGCGTCTTTCTAAATTAACATTCGAAATCTATTAATCGTGATTGGCATTTAAGAACTCAAAATATCATTTCATTTCAGTAGCAAACCGACCCTAAACGTGCCTCCGAGATACGTAAGGCCATTCCTGTTTCGTAGCCCTTCCCTCCGGCGCGCGCACCGGCGCGGCGCCTCTCTCCGTCGCCGCATCTGCGCCGCGACGGCAGCGCTTCAGCCGCCCCCAACCGCGCGCCTCCAAGTCGCGCTAATCTCGGTATAATTTATTTATCCCCGCGCGCGCGCGTACAAGACGAGCCGAAGCGATGGGCGGGCGTCGGCGGCGGCGTCGGCGTCGGCGGGCGGGCTCGTCACGCGCGTCACGCGGCGTCGACGAAGGCGTCGGCGCCCCGGGCCGCCCTTCATAAATAAGCGCATTAATAAAAACGTCGCCGGGTTATTTAGGGCGTCGGCTGCGCCCGCGAGCGGCGCCTTGAGCCCTTGTTTGGGGCAACTTTTCACCGCGGTAAGCTCCGGCGTAAGCCTGCGGCCGCGGCCACCAATACGTTACGTGCACCTCGCTCCCGGCTTCGCGCGCGGCTCCTGGCCCTGCGCGCGGGGCGGCGATAGAGTGAAATATATAGGAGGCGCATGAAGAAGTGGAGGGGCAGAGGAAGTAGGGCAAGATGGGGTTGGGGAAGGCTTGAGGAAGACCCGCGCCACTTCCAAGAAGCTTCGGCTAGCGGCGGAGAGTGAGGCGGGTTGTGACGGCGTCCAATTTGAAACGGTACTCGAACGATAATGGTAGGAGGGGGGCGAAGTGGTTGTGTGGTAGGAGTAGGATAAGTTCAGGTAAGAGGAGGAGGTGAGAGGGGAAAGAGAGTACCTATCAATTGCGGTGAGAAATAAGGCTTAAACGTAGAAACTAAATCACGAGTTTGGTGAATATACATCGATGAACAAATTCGAAAAAGGCGGAAGAAAAATCGAAGCAAATGGCATTGAAATCTGACGAGATATTGAACTACAAGAACATACAATGAGAAGGCAGTTCTCGAGAGGTAAACATTCATGAACGACGTGATGAGGCAATTGATGACGGTATCAAATATTACAGAGGAGCATTCTTAGCGCTATCCTCCATTCCGTGGCTTGTGATGCGACGAGTAGTCGAGAGAGTTGGCGAGAGCGAGCGCCGCGGGGGTGGGGCTGGCGGCGTGGGCGTGGGTGGGGGTGGGAGGGTCGGTGGAGCGGCCGGGCGGTCCGCTGACGCCAGCGGTGATTGGGCCGCTGTGCCGTTTGATTTACGTAAAGGACGTTGCTCGCCTGTACGATTGGGATGCGGAAGCTCGTCAGGCCGGTGCTCTCTCGTAAGAGGATTACAGCAGAAATTTCGGGGAATTCGGAAGTTCCCGAGAGGACTTGGGGAAGTGCGCCCGCGAGGCGCTTTTCGGCCCCCTCCCCCTCCTCGTGCTTCAATGTTCTTCACGTTCGCCATTTTGTGCGCGGAGTAGAGAAGTGATATCGTGTAAAATTTGCAGAGGTTTTGTATGAAATCTGTTTATTGTGCCAAAATTAATATATGTGCTTCTGTACTATACTTCGATTTAAACATGGAGTCCATTGACGTAAATCAGCTCTTACGATGTTATCCAATCGGGAATTAGGATGACACCTACAATAGTGACGCTTAAGTTCCAGATTGGATGACACCGGAAGTCTGATAAAACGTGAACGAACTCTTTAAATGTATCGAAGTTTATTTATATATCCATACGTATAGTGTTGTAAACGTTCTGCTTATAATACGTATGTAGCAACCACTATGATATATTATTTTTAACGCTTTTATTTCCACGTTAGGCATTAACATTAACAGTTTTTATTTAATCATTTACATGTATTTATTGTATTTATTTAATCATTTACATGTACGGTAGTAATGCAATTAAAGGAGTCAGATCAAGACTTTAATGACAAGGCATGTACGCAAACTCTTCACCCTAAAAAACTTCTCAAAACTCACTCTCAAAACTTGGAACAAAAATGGATATCATTTATGTCTTTCATAAATGAAACATCATAGAGTAACAGGATTTCTTTAAATGTAGCGTAGTATGTAAGTAGGAAAACTGGTCTGTCACCACCATGTGTTCTTTATATGCACAGAAGCACGCCTTTATTACTTATTTATCTGTAATTCAGTCTTTGAAGGTGATTAGGAAGTCGACATTTAAATGTAGTCGAAGGAAAGTGCTTATTCCCTGGGAAGCTCACGAATTTGTTCAATCAGGAGAAATTGCCCTGAATTGACTGGGTGAAGATATGTTAACGCAAACATACTGCATTACTTTAACCAATCGACCACGAATAAATAGCGGCTTGACATGTCAAAGAGGGTTATTGTGTTGTACGACAACACACGCTACATGTTGTACAGGTATGCCTTGATCTGCTACGGATTTTTCGCCCATGGACGTTCTTCGATGGGGACTATACATAAAAGTATGACGCAGTTGACAGACTGTGGTAGCGACTGTGATAGCAAGGCGACTGTGGTAGCGAGTATATTACCTATGTATGCCTCGTACTTTCTGTATGAACATGAACCAATCAAAATATTAAAGATAAAAATTTCACTTCAAAATGGGCAACTGTTTTATTGTGCACTAGGTGTAGAACCCTGCGTACCCTGGGTATTTACGAATAATCACAAATCTCTCTTAGGAAAAAAAAGAGAGTTCTGTGTATATTCTCCCGCCCTCCTATGTCCTGTTTCCCTCTGGCCTGTAGTATAGCGTCCCTTCCCCGTACCTCCCTACCTCACCCTTGCCCATCCCCTGCCCACCTCCACTCTGTCCCGCCCGAACTGGCCTGTCGTGTCTGCAACGATTATAGTTGCTACCTCCACCGTTATGATAGGCAGCTGTAAACAAATGTATTGTTGAATACTCTCAGCAAACGTGTTTAGTAACAATCTACACATTTAATTGCTCAAGATTAATTGCCTTATCTGGTTGAATGGAAAAACATTTAACAGGAATTTGAATGGTTTGAAAATACGAATTTCCTCAACGTTTTCGAGATGTTCGCGAAAAAATTGAAAGAGTGTACACTCACTTATTAGGATAGGAAAGGGAAATGGGGGTGGTTTTATGAAATCGTCTGTAGAAAGTAAATTTTCCCTTGTTTGAAGGTCAATGGCACAAAGTTTATTCAAGATCGGATTAAATGTGTAAATTTGTATGAAAAAAGAAAAAACAAATTCTAACTTTTGTATGGGAAAAACTATTTCGGAAAAGTGGCATAACTTATGGCGTACAAAAAACACCACCTTTCAGCTAAAACTGCATCGAAATCGTTTCAGCCTTTCCAGAGATCACCTCGGACAGACAGAAATAGTGAACATAATTAATTTGGCTTTTATACTGTGTAAATAAGGATATGAGATTATAAAAAGGTATTTATTTGATTATAAGAGACAAACACTTCAATTTTATTTAGAATATAATTCTTCTTGCCTTGTGAAACGAACGTTTTCGTCCCAGCGCTCCTGGTGCCATCGATCAAACGCTGCAGCGCGGCGCTGTGTCTGACTGAAGAGCCGCCCACGCCGGCGCCAAGTGCTGTGACGCAGGTAAGGGCTGCGGGCTGGGGAGGGGGCTCGCAGCGCTGGACAATCACCCATGACCTCGCCCAAACCCTCGCCCACGCTGTTTTGTTTATATGCAAATCACGCTCCAATGGAGCATGCTTGAGTAACATTCGCAAAAGTAGATTAAAATTAAATTTCGATTCTATAAATGGGTGTTATAAGAGTGTTGTCTCCTGTGCATGTAATGTTTGAGGAGAAAACAAAAAAATGAAATATATACAATTTAAGGTAAACGTGAATATATGATGTGAAACATTTTATGTATTTTGACCCGTTGAACACGAATCATTTGTCAAGATCACGCGCTCTAGCGCCATTTTCGAGTTAAACGTAATTTTTTAACCAACAAAGTTTGGTTCATATCTACACCGATGTGGTCCATGACGCATTAACGTGCGACACTACCCGATGTGCTAAGTTAGCGAGTGTCTTCCGGTTTCCGGCGAAATTCAATGTATCGGAGCTCATTCGATACAAAAGAATGTTTCTTTGAACACAACAATTTTCACTTTTCAAACACAGCACTTCCAAGAACCAAAAATGATGGATTGATTATTTTGTGTTTCCGAACGCGTCAACTGCTATAGCCATTACTCTATTATAAGGGTAATGCAAGTTTTTCTTTTGGAAATGCAATGGTCTTCTCTAGGTGAATGGTGAGATCCGGCTGCGACCTACATGTCGGCTAGCGGGGGTTTTCTTGAACCACGCATCTTCCACCACCGTATCACGGGCCACCGCCTCAGCCGGGACAAGTTCTAAGCTCCCGACTGGCTCCAGGCATATGTAGTAGTGTACTGCATCTTGGGTAAGTGTGTTTAAGTAAGGGATGAGGATAGGACAGGGAAGAAGAAGGAACGATCGTTCGCGATCCGTGGCCCGTTTGTTAGTGAACTACTGTGGCATCCGTCTGATGTTGGTCGGAGAAACGACGGAAAAGTACGGATCGGAGCAGCAGACCGCAAGAATTCTCCTCTGCATAGAGATAAATTCGATCTAGCTATTTAGCCAGTATCGAAATTGCTGCTCCCGGCGGGACTCTAAACGTAGGACCTCCCGGCCAAAGGCACTCCAATGGCATCAGCTGATGCCCTGCGCCCCCGAAAACGGCCCAAGATCCGAAAAGACCTTACACAGTTTGCCACAGCGTGAAACATTTTTGCTAAACAGCGAGGAGGGAAAGTGCAGTGTCCGTCGACGTGGAAAGCCGTGTGGCCGTGCCCCTGTACTCCACAGCGCTCGCATTACTCACGCGCAGCGGCCACGTGCGCGCGGAGGCGGAAGGCGGCGGGGCGGGGGACGCGGCGCCGGTCGGGGCGACTGCGACGTCGACGTCGGAGGAAAGGAGCGAGACAAGCGACGACTGCCAGTGCAGCGTTGCCGGCGACACGGGTAGCTGTGTCGCTAGACGTAATGTGACGGCATTTGACGAGGTGGAGAGGAGAGAGGTGGGAGATACGGTTGCGAAGGGGTGCCGGCGATAATGGTGATGGAAGTGGCGCTTGTGAAGGTGTGGGATAGACTTGATGATGATGGTAGATGAGGCGATAGTCATACTGACGTTATAGATTGTGGTGATGGCAGTTGTGGCGGTGATGGAAGCTCCATTGCTGGGGATGACGATGGCAGGAGTTCAGGTTGGATTGATGGTATTGCTGTGGTGGTGATAAGCTGGCAAAAGTGATTTTCATCTCAGTTGGTGAACCAGAGAAAGTATGTCGCTGCAAAAAACGTAGTCTTCCGAGCGTCGCGGTGGAAACGTTGACATTTGTTCCAAGGACGCGCGGTCTTCCGGACATCAAATAATTTAAACATGGTGGTACTTCAAGGTCACGAGCTGTTAACAGAGGGGGGGGGCATTGTCAAGCAGTTCCAATACCAAAAATTTAAGTAATGAAGCTCGCAATTGGGTGACAAGTGTCCGTGACCTAGAAGAGCCTCTATGTTAAAATCGGAGTATAGATACTGATTCGTCGCTGGTGTTACCTTGGGCACGGGAGCAGTAGAGTGAAGGGCGCCGGGGGAAGGGGCTGATCTGGCGGGGGCGGCAGCGGCGGAGGCATTGGCAGAGGCGATTCTTTCCGACACGTCGCGCGCGGTCGATGGCGGGCGGGCGGCGGCGGCGACGGCGACACGGGCGGGCGTGAGCAGTCGCGGGCGCCGCGTCGGCGGTTGCGGACGCGCACGCGGCGCCGCCGACGCCGTCCCGCCGCCCCGCTCCCTTCCCGCCCCCGTCGCGTTCGCTGGCGATCAGCTCGAAGCGCGCTGGCGGAGTGCGCGGCCGCTTTGGCGCACTCGCACCCGCGACTTCTGCTCGCGACGCCGCCGCGCCGAGGTTTGTATGAAGCGAAAGCGCGCCCCGGCGCCCGCCCCTGCCCCGCTCCGCTAACGAACTCCGCTCCCCGTTGCTTGTTCCAGAGCCCGCCAATTGGCTACGATCTTCGAAGATTGTGAAATGGTGTTGAAAAACCAGGCCATTTAAGGAGGTCGGTGGACATAATGGAACCGTTCATTTCAACTTTCGCGGCGAAATGTAATGTAATACTACGGTTTCACACGAAACGCGCAGCCCATATTATAACCTTATGAGTGAATTATCACTGTCATTAGTTTTTATTTCTTTAAATTGTTAGCAATATAGATAGCGCTACTTCCTTTACTTTATAAAGGCCAATAACATGGACTGCCTCCGTCTTTTGGCATCCATGATATGCATGCCAAAAGCCATACTCCGTTATTTATACACGAAGGTTTCGTATGTAAAATAAAAAAAACATCGATTGATCTTAACTGTCATCGTTCTTTGTGAACGGAATGATCAAGCTGTTGATATACATGCGAGAGGCCATACGAATTCTCATACTGTGAGAGAATGCTCGTATCCTGCTTCAAGCTAGTATTTATTTCCTATCCAGTTCTCTCCCTTCTTCGACGTTGCTTGTACTGATTTACGTATTTCCCCCAGTAATTTAATGTAAACATTTCTGATTGTACCTAATATTTGGGCAAAATTGGAATAATTCCTCCAGTAATTCTTGCTACATTCCAAGCCGTCTTAAATTTGAGCATTTTGTCTGTATACTTATATTTTTTTCGGAAGTTTCTCAAAACTCTCTACCTTTTTTGTTGATTTCTCTAATTATTTTCTATATTCTAATAAATATTCATCTTCTTATTTCGTCTCTTCTAGTATGTTATTTGCATGTCCCATTCATTTCTCTTTATTTACTTTCAGAACCAGGTTAGTGTTGTGTTCTTTCGTCGTTTATGGTGTCGTATAGACGTTAACATTCACCGAGAGGGATGATCTAAAATGAAATAGCCTAGATTAGCATTTTCGCAAATTTGTATCTGTTTTAAATGTATCTCGAATAGAAAATCTCCGAAAACATTCTTGAAGCTCCACTAATTCATTGTAGTGACAGTAAAGTTGGCTGTGAATAGGCGAGTTAGAATGCCCTTTGCCGTTCCTGAGTGGCGTTAGTATAGAACGCAGTGTAGAAATGAATAGGCTATGCTTCTTTTACATAGGCGTTGCTCGTATATCCTGTTTACATGGTACCATATTTGATGAGAGATTTTTGACATTTCTCGCCTAGAAGCAATTTAGTAAACTGCCATTTAATTAGATCCCCATCACGTCGGATTAATTTCAAACTATTCTGTTGCGATTGTATATAAATGTTTTTAAAGGAAAAATTATTTTTCTCCTTCTTGGTTGCTTCATAAAGTGTGGTAACCCCAACAAAATGTTTGCATTAAATTTAAAATGACGCCAGTTGTAA